TTCCAGAGTTCCGAGTGTTGACGGTCTTTCACTTCGCGCCGCATCTTTAACTGAACCGTCTGTAATCGACTCGTTTCTTTGATCGTTTTAGAATCGAGAGTCGCACTCTCTCATCTTTCTTCAGCCGCCATCTCTGAATCCCTGGCACACACCTCCAAACCTCATTTCTCGATGCCATTTCAGGTCGCTCGTGACAATCAACCTCTGCGACATGCTTCGCCAGCAAAAGAAACAATTCACCGGATTTAAAAAAAAAAATATTTCAACGGCACGAATTCCTCTCAGACCCGAAAGACACGAAACCCACATGAATCCGCGGCTTAATGCAGATCCCTCCGCACGGCGTGAAGCCGTTCATCGCTCTTCGTCCATGCTCTTCGTCCTCGCTCTTCGTCCTCCCGCCGATGCCTCACCGGCAGGGACGCACCACCGCCACGCTAATCGTCATCGAGCGATCGAAAAATCTCTTGGAAATCTTTCCTCATCTCGGATCCTCCAAGCTCCAGCCGGCGGGCGGCGCGCCCCATTCACGCCGACGCGATCGGCCACCCAAAATGCTCCAGTTTTCAGTTTCCCCTACTTTTTTTTTTAATACGTTCGCAGGTTAATGTGGATCAGAACGCAAATTTCGAAATTTCTTTTAAAAGCTACTCCAGCCCATGTCAGCTGTATGTGACGGCAATAAATGTTTAAGAGATGGAACCATCTGTTTTGCCGTACGATAAAAACCGATAATAATAATTGTACGCTTTCGATCTTAAAAGTGTTTTGAAAAGACGGAAGCATTTCACGTGATTCCGATGGATTTCTCAAGATCGCGGTTCAAACTCCGGGAGTTTAAGAGTTAATCTGTGAACTTTTCGCGTATAAATGGCAAAACTCGCCAGAATGAAAGCGAAGAAATTCAACATATTTTAGTTATGGGATCGCTTAATAAAATGCCGGACGAAAGCGGAATGAATTTCGATCTCATTTCATATTTTCCGGTATTTCGCTTGAATGTCGGACGTCTGGCTACTTGGTGCAGACCCGTACAGTAAAACCCTGGCCTAGGTGATGGAGAAAATGGGAAACGCTCTCCAGAATCAGGAGCTTCAAGGTAAAAAAAAAGGAAACTTTTTGAAATTAATCATATGTTGCCATAGAATAATCTGTGTTGGTGCGTGATTTCGTTGATGAAGGCGCGAAGAGCAGGAGGCGGATGGATGTGGCGAGCAAAGTCATGAAAGCGGTTGTCGTCTCCATTTTCGCGGGTCTTGCCATCTGGCAGGTCAGATGCTTCGCGAGATTCTCATCCTTCTGATATCGAAGGCATCTTAAATCAGCATTCGCTGCAATTAACTCAAAATGAAACTGCAGGTGGCGATCCTGGTCGAGGAACACCTGTCCCACTCGACCCAAACGTTGCAGGTGATGGAAGACGCCGACGTGATCCAGGCCCCAGCGTTCACGTTCTGCCCGAAGCCGTCGGTGAAAATCTCTGCACTGGGCGCCGACGGCTCTGCCAGGTTTCTGTATCTGAGTGGAGGCCGATCGAAGAACTCCACCGTGGCCGAGGATTTCAAGAAAATCTCCGTCTCGTTGCCGGACGTGCTCTTATTCGCTCCTATCCGGTTCCCGGACGCAAATAACAAAATCGTGGATAAAGTCGCTTCCGTCAATGGGGAAACCATCCACGTCCTCGGTGAGTATTCGTACATTTCATCATTTTGCACATATTAACGGCCGAATCGAGATCTGTCGGGAGTTGCCTGGCTTCATAGATTCTGGAATCTGGAGCGAGCGGACATTCGCTTACGATGAACGGACACTCGATCCAATCGGTGCATCTCGTTACAAGTGCTTCACGCTGCTGCCGGTGGATAGAGCCTTTACCGAAGTGGTGCCTTGCTCCAATGACTTTTTTCTCTTCGATTTCAGACAGCTCCCCAGAACTTTCCAGGTGCGTGCAGACTTAATTATGACAAGAAACAGGCGAAGCCACCACAGTTGTTTACTTTTTCTATTCAGAGCTCGACGCAAATCGAAATGTTCATCCACGATCGGAACGAGGAGTTTTCATTCCTCGGCATCACCGCGGCGAGACGATTGCTGCTGCGCAACAACACCCTGACAGGCATCCTCCTCCGCCCGGAGGTCATGCATCGACAAAGCCGAGTTGAGGACCTCTGCATTCCGGACGAGGACTACAGCTACTCGAGAGTCAGTGATGTACTGGGCGGCCAAGTGAAAACCGGGCATTTTCTTTGCTCCCAATACCTTAAACAAACATGGTTGAACAGGTTCTGTCGTACAAAATCGGAAAGCTCCCTATTCCTACCACATGTTCATCAAATTTTACGTTAAAAATCCTTCTGTTTTCTGGTCGTAGAAGAACTGCAATGTACGTTTAGAGGGCCTTTCGCAAAATTGAAGGTGGCACCTCAGTCGTTTTCTTTCCAACGTGTGTTCCTCCTCCTGCTTCATTTTTAGCGCTTAAAACCACTTGATCACTATATGGGACTAAATATCTCCGATCCTATATTGCATGACATTAAAGATTCAATCCCGCCTATATATATCCAATAGTACCACGTTAAGGCAAAGGCTCTTTCGAATAATTCATTGGCTGTTTCTTCTAACCGCTTAAAATTAATGTGAGTGAAAATACGCGCTTTTGACTTTCTGTTGAAGTTGTACGTGAGATCCAAGTATGGCTTTATGAATTTTGTCTTTCCAATTTTCATCGAACAATGATTCCTGGAAGTCACGTACCTCTAGACGAAGACCCTCTATAAGTTGCGCTTAGGTCTGCAAGGGACGCAGCAGGGCAGGGAGGACGGGTTCCTTCACCGTTAGCACTTCGGTCTTACGTTCTGACGTCACGATGAAGCCCGCCACACCTCGAAACTGAAGGAGGCCCGCCGACCATCCTCCATGTATCAGCTGATGCGCCGTTGCGACTGCCCGAAGAGGTGCACCGCCATCGAATACCAAGTCTCTGCCGATCCAACTCCGACCTGTGAGATCGTGAAGGAGGGGGTTGCCATTCTCACCTTCAGTTTCCCTTCGAAACTGATTCGTATCCGACCAATCCCATTGAAGTCCAACTCATGTGTAAGACGTTCTAAAACGAAATCTTGAACCCGTTTCTTGCTTCCACGTAAAGGTGTCGCACTTCCTGGAGAGAGAGGTGATGACTCCTCGAGATTTGCTGATCGGTATTGGAGGAATCGTGGGCTTTTTCACCGGTTTTTCCCTCATCGCCATCTTTGTCATTCATCTGATTTGCTGCAAAGTCTGCTGCAAGCTATTTCCGCAGAGAAATGAGGTCCTCAATGTTAACAGGCACTGATCCTATCCAAGAGCCCGTCCCCGCATGGATAATCGACCCCTCAACGTACTTATAGCACAAACAATCGTATAGGTTATGCACACTCACTGTGGATGACGTATAAGCTCACAGAGTGACTATGGCGTTATTTTCTTCGTAGGGGGTTTTCACTAGCCTATATATTCCAATTACGGCCAGCACACCTGAACACATCTTTCTAGACAACTGATAATTGGTCCGAATGATGCATGACTGTTTTCCGAGAGCGGACGGGCGCGTTGTCATGGAGAAGACTATCTTACTATCTTACTAGATAGTACTATCTTAGTACTATAGTACGATAGTACTACTATAGTAGTACTATAGTACGATAGTACTACTATAGTAGTACTATAGTACGATAGTACTACTATAGTAGTACTATAGTACGATAGTACTACTATAGTAGTACTATAGTGGACGATTTCCTGCAACCGCAGGACGAGGCCGAGATCATCATATATGTGGTTCGCGTTTGGGATGTTCCGTCGACCGGATCCATCTTCCATTGGTTTCCTTGCATGGAACCGAGCGTAGAGACGGCCGTCATATTCAGGTAGATAACTTATTGAGTGGCCCTCGTACATTTGAATTGGGATAATGAATTTCGTTTCTCATACTATTCCACGTTTTCCATCGGATTCGCTGCAGAGGAGAGTATTCCCAAGAGACGCAAGCCGAAATTAGGTGTCTTAGATCGAATGGTTATATACCTAGGTATATTTCAGTTACTCTATTTGTTCGCCACCTCTCAATTACCTAAGCACCATAATTAATGATTGGATCATTGGGAATGCTCGATTAATAGTTTAAAGTTTTACAAGGTTATACCCCAATTACAACATATCACTCAGCAGGAATACATCTAATTTCAATCCGTAAGTCTCTTTCTCTTATGGATATAGATCCTAGTGGACGTTTCGAAGGGGAGTACCTTTGCATGGTTTCAGAGAAGTCATTCGAAACATTCCACAAAAACCCAAGAACGAACCTCATCTCTTGCAGAAATTAATATGGAATCGGTACTACGATTGATTGCTACCAAAACGGTGACGGCCGTCTCTACGCTCGGTTCCATGCAAGGAAACCAATGGAAGATGGATCCGGTCGACGGAACATCCCAAACGCGAACCACATATATGATGATCTCGGCCTCGTCCTGCGGTTGCAGGAAAGCAGAGGTCAGAAAAGGTCTTTTCCGAGCTCGAATTCTTTTCGCTGCTGTCACCAGTATCGAGTGGGTGAAGTGAAACGGAGCACTAAGAACGATGCAGACGCGAACCTCCTTCCAAATCGGAGACTTAACTTGTGCTACTCTGCCCCCAAAAAATGCAGCAATACATTTTTTGAAGGAAGATGTTTTACCTAGGTCAATAATATGAATTGCGCAACGGAATCGGCGCCTTCGACCTACACATTCATTTACATTTATTTTCAAAAATTGTTGCTTTGAATTTGAATCGAAAACGTTAAGCACAAGCCAGCAGCTCAACCCTTTCTTCAGCTTAAACGTCTTTGGAAATGGATGATTTAAAAAATATTCACTTCAACATTGATACCCGTCGACCTACCCATTGTTAATTTTGTCGAAGTTCACTGGAAGGTAATTTCCAAACGCACTAGTGCCGTGGCCTGCAGCCTCAAAACCAACTAAGAAATTCGTCACTTTCGTCACGAGCCTTTTCCTAAATGTCGAGACGAGACAAACAAATTTCGCAGGGAAACAATAATATATTTTTGGTAGATAGTGGATTTGAGTTTTTTTCCAACAAGGATCTCGGCACGTCGATCAGGCGAGGTTGAAGCACTCCTTCCAGAACTCCAACATGGAATGATACACGTGGGGTCGGACCGAACCCAACCCGTGGTTTTCGTCCGGATAACTCTGAAAAGCAAATCAACATCTCGGATCAGTCTCATGAGAGATCCCTGAAGGAGCAGGAAGTACGAGAAAAGACAGCAAAGAATCGTCATCGCACGATGATGCCGAGATAGGTGATGAATTCAAATTCCTTAAGCATTCCTTTCTCTGGGGATTTACGAATAGAAATTACGGCAATGTCTGCACTTCGTGAAGTTGCCATCATCCGACGTAGTAATGGGGCTCATTTATGTGCGAAAAATCTCGATATGTATATGTTTACCAGAGAAAAGCTTTTTATCAACGTTTCTGCATTTCATATTGTGCTCCTCTAATCTCGAGAATGGTATCGGTTTTGCATGATTTAAAACCTGAAGCACATTTCCTTTTTGGCAATGAGAAGACTTGACCGCTGAAGGTTTCCCGAAAATTGCACGTGTAAGACGGCGGTAATACCATCTTGTTCCGAGGACTCCGTGCAGAAGTACGCCCATTTTAGACAGGGAACGGGACGGATGAGGTTCGACACGGATTCATTGCCTCACTACGGACGCAAATGCAGTTTCACATTCCCACCCAAACCTTGTGACGGATACAGTGAAAAAATCCCTGCTTGATGCGATCAGGCCGCGATTGCGAACCCGGCTTGGCATATAACCCAGACTTTGAAATCCTTCATCGTACAGTCTTTCCCCCGTGGGCGTTCCGAGCTGAGGATTCCTTCTTCTTACCTGCTGCCTGAAGAGGATGTCTTTCAGCTCGAGCTCCTTCGACAGCATCATGGACTGCTGATAGTGGACGTTGTCGTCTGCATTCCCGTGAATCAAGTAGAACTCCTTGTTGCGGAAATTCTCCAATCTTTCAGAATTGAGCATGGTCCCGGCTTCGTAACCGGCCAGGTTGTCCGTTGGAGTCGGCAGCCCCATATATCTCTCCGTGTATATGGAATCTTCAAAGGACAACACGCCATAAAGTCACCAGGGAAACAAAAACCAACCCAAATTTCGTCGAAAAAATGCGCTCTACGACATATGAATAGGAATGTGAGGAAGAAAAAGGGGATACCGTAATAAAGCCAAGAGGTGACAGGGGCGACAGAGACGCCACACTTGAAGGCACCTCCGGTATCGGTCGCCAATGCCATGGCGGTCGTGAAACCACCGTAACTCCATCCCCAGATTCCCACTCGAGTGCCATCAATGTATCGCAAATCTCGAACCAAGGCCCTGTTGCAGAAAAAAAGAAAAACAAGAAAATGAACGGTCATCGTGTTATGGGGGACACTGGAAATGAGAACAGAAATCAAATACTTGGTGACATCGATTTGATCCTGCACTTCCACAGTACCGAGGCGACGATACAATTGATAGAGGAGTTGTTCACCGCGGTTTGCGGATCCCCTTCCATCGATCATGGCGTATATGATACCTTCGGTCCCAGAGAGATAAGTCCCCCAATTCACGCCCCTCCATCCGTCCATGATCATTTTGGAATTGGGACCTGCATATCTAAACCCACGAAAGAGAGGCGGGAAAATGTATTCACATTAACAGCAATAAAAGAAAAACTTGAAACAAAGGATATGCTCGATTACGTCTCAACGATCATCGGGTATTTGGTGGATCCGGCTTCGTCGAGACCAGGAGGGAGGTAGAGGCGAACTTGAGCCTTGAACCCTCCAGCCACGTCCACTTCCAAGTTCTTCTCGACGGGGAGGTTCTTGTTATTGAGATCATCCACGAGATGCTGACTGGACAGCCACTCTCTCAGCACCTCCCCGCTTTCCGTCACCCTGATGGTCACCAGGTTCGCGACGGTGGTGGGCGTCGCGCACTGGAGGGCGTAATAGGAGGCATTCCGGCTGAAGTAGCCAGAGGCAGAGGAACATTCGTCTGGTGTGGAGCATGACAAACAGGTCATGACACCCGCTTCTATCATATATATGCCTCTTTTGGACGACGCATCCCCGTACACGCCCTGGATATATCTGTAAACAATTTACAGGCGGAATCAAGGGAAAAAGTTACATCTAATAATCGTCGAAAAACGAGCAACTCAGAGCGCGTGGGCGTTGTTAAATTTATATACATCGACTCACATCCGATCCTTGCCAACGTCCCATTTATAGATCCCGGTGACCTCGAACCCAACCGGAGTGAGAGGTTGAGGATTAGACGCCGAGACCTTGAAGAGCTTCTTCCAGCCTTCATGGGGATACTTGATGAGGTAATCCGAGGAATCGGGAGAGGGAGAAAAAACAGGCGCATCGATCTCGAACCATCCTTCGTTGTTCCTCAACTCGAGGTCCTTGGCATCGAATTCGAAAGAAACCGTGCAATTAAGGACCGATTCCTCGATCAATCGGTCGAAGAAAAAATATGGACTCACGACGGGACAGGACCAAGCCCGTGTTCCTTCCTTCGATTCGGAGCAGAGGGTCGTCACGCTGTGATTCTGATGTCGATTGAGCCAATTGACGGCCAAGCGAGAATTTCCCGACCAAGACATCCCCGTGATATAATGCTCCCTGCAAGAGACGAGGTCCTCTCCGACACGGCACGAAATCAACCCAGGGCCGGAGACATTCCGCAAGTCCGACTCACTGATTCTGGAAGACAGGCGGAGGAACGATAGAAGTCTTAAAATCCGAAGACGGATTCGCTTCCAGCGCCTCCACGTCGGCGACCCAAACTTTCACGTCCGGATTCTCTCTCCCCGACTATTAAACAAACCACCATCAGTAGATCCAAGCAACACACACCAAGATCACCGACTTTACTCATCACCTTCGGATAGTGAATCTTAACTATGGTAGGATACTGATTCTCGGCGCTGTAAGACTTATAAAGCGTGTACTCCATGAGCGGCACGTTCGCATCGTCGAAGGAAAGGAAAGCCAGCTTCCTGCCGTCCCTCGACCACCACACTGCGCTCGAGGCACCGAGAACTTCCTCTGAATAGAACAAACTCATTTCAACATTTTGTGAGAAAATTTTTTTTTTTGGGTTGCAGAATCAGAATTAAGCCCACGTATTATTTCTGTTACATAAAATGAATCGGGCCACATTTGACTCGATTTGACTCTTCACGCCACATGAACTCATTTCATCAAGCGACGGTCGAGTCTCTCTCCATGAGTCACGCAGCACGAGATGGATAAGGGAAAATGGCGAGAAAAGTATAATATAGAAACAGACGAAGCACCTTCGTAGACCCAATCCGCGACGCCGTTATAGAAGACATCCACCGCCCCGTCCGCGGTGACGCGGAAATCCCGACTCTCCCTCGGATCCGGCCGGTAATAGACATCGTTCTCGAAGACCAGGACGAGCCGGTCCTGGCCCGGTGCCCACCTGGCCAGGAGGAAATACGGCTGCCCACCCGGCTGGAACTCCGGCCGACCCCCCTCCTTCGACCCGTGCAGCGTCACGTTGATCACCTGCCTGGCACCGACGATTCCCAACTCACGATACGAGTCGATATCGCGAAACATCGTTTGCCTCGAAATCGAAAACTCACTGTCGCTCGATGTCGTAAATGAAGTACAGCGCCGAGAAGGAATGTCTGTATATCTGTGCAATTAAATAAATATATATAAGTAAATAAATATATAAATTCCGTAAGAACTCGATTGGGTAAAAAAAAATTTTCTGAGGGAACGAAAGCGAGTAACCGAGTGAACATCCGACGCCAGGAGAACGTATTTCTGCGTCGGGGATACCCACATCAAGCCCAAGCTCGACACTTTCAAGTTGCTCTGAAAAGGACCAGGAACTCTTCGTGAACCGCCTCGAAAACCATAATACGTTTCCGTGATAACTAATGAATATTTAATTTTTGATGAAATAAAAATCGAGCGAAAACGTTACTGACGAGAACGCTCGACGGAACCAAGATGGTCTCCGTGCCGGTCGTGACGTCGAACTTCGCCAGGTCGCGGTTCCCGTTCAGGAACAGCAGCTCCACATCTGCAGGCGTTCGGCAGTGCCATCAGCAACGCAAACAATAATTATTTCTCACCCACCAGATACAGGGTGGGGCAAAAGCGAGGGAACGTAGGAATTCGTGGGGAATTTAATTTTTGAAGTGACTGTTTCGTGGCAGCACTTTCCCATATTTCTTTCCCATCAATTTCGCATACGATAGGAAAAATGCCCGGTGAAGAAAGCACCCATTGAAATTACACTTTCACACCGGAAGAAGTACGGAAATTTTGGTGCTGATGTGTCATTTCGAATGCCGTTAATGTGGGTCACCTCCATGCCGTATTATCCAATTGGCATTGTAGGCACTATGCCTAGGGCCCACGAAAACTTAAGGGCCTACGAAAAAATGTTTGACCATATTTTTTTTTAATGGCGAAATGGTGCATCGCAAGAAAAAAAAAACAAAAGGGCACTTTCGTCATCTACAAGTCAATATCTTCCCATGGTTGGTCTCTTTCCTCCGAAAAACCACCAGGAGTGGCGACGCTGGGGAAGAAAAAAAAAACAAACGGAATGAAAGTGGCATCTTCAAAAAGCGAGATTCAGTGTTCTCCGCAACCCCGGGGAGTTGGAGCTTCAAATTTCCAGGAGCGATCCTGTGTAAAGAGAGTAAGAAGCTCCCGATTTCGTCTCTGTTGATGCTCTCAGAGAGGAATACGAGGAGGTTCAATTTTGCTACGGGAAGAGGAAGAAAGGTAATAGGCGGTACCAAAGCCTATCGATTCATTCATCCGATGGAACATGGATGATCTATACTAAAGGTGGCAGCACATTCTAGAGACCAACATGTCAAAACTTCTTTGACAAACATGCCATGTCACACACACGGTGTTGCCATCCGAAAAAAATCATACAAGATAATTTTAATCACCCATCTACCCATAAAAATGCATCCCCCAAAGGGCCTACGAAACAGAAGTGCCTAGGGCTTACAAGGACCTTAATCTGGCCCTGCCTCCATGCAAGAGTGCATTTTGCCATAATGTAACGGATGCCATTTGGAAGTGACTTTCGACCGAGTGTTGCCGAAATAATAAAATAATAACGGCGCATCCAACTGAAAAACGAGTGGAGTTGGTGATGAGATACAATAACACATAAAACCGTTTCCGGCAAACGAGTATGGTCACCGCGAAAATGCATAGAACCACATAGAAAGAAATAGGCCAAGACCGGCGAGCCATTGCATTTCGGGTAATCGGCAGGGTTCTCCTTCCAAAAATAAAAATAAAAATAAAGGGGCGCAATAGCCGACAAAATAGAACTTCTGGCCCTAGCGTTAATAGACCGGCAGCAATCAAAGCAACATACGTTGAGATCTGTCGCCATCAGTGAAAGGTTACACAGAAAGGAGATTTAAATTGCCACGTTCCCTCAATTTCGCTCCACCCTGCACATCTCCATGCTAAATGTCGAAGAGAAAAAGAGCTCTACCCGAGAGCCAGGACGCATTGGAGGCGAAGGACCTCGCCCCGAACCGATTCTGAAGGAAGTCGTCGAACTCCAGATCCTCCGCGACCGCCCCCAGCTTGGGCGCGACCCCGGCGACCCCCCTCTCGACCCCGGCAACCTCCCCCCCTCCCCTCGCCGACCCATACGACAGGACCGTGACGAGCCCGACGACCACCACGACGGCCCCCCCCGCCAGGATCGGCCGGAGACCCCTCAGCGTCCTCGCCCAGCCCGGCTTCCTCTCTCCTCCTTCTTCTCCGCCCAACTCCTGCATCCCCTGTTAGAGAGCAAGCACATAATTAGCAATTAATTAGGAAATGTCACACGCGTCATTCCACTATCGTTCCGGTCGCTCGAGTAGAATCGGTTTCTGCCGGAGAAGACGGACATCGCTTTCGATCGTCGTTTTATTTCGAGGCGAGCCCACCGGTTCGAGCGTTTCGCAATTAGCTTTTGCCGTTCGGGCTGCTCCGGAGCACGCATCAAGTATGAAAACCGAGAAAATTCGACGGAATGAATCGGGTATGGAACCGATAGTCCTCAAACCTGGGAAATTTTAGCGGCGAAGCAGCATTTTCCCTCGCCACACTCTTTCATACGATATACGATGACATCCATGCCCCACCCGGGAGGTATCCATGCCCCACCCTGTGTTAGCTCACGCAAAGGCGAGTTTCACTTTTCCCAGGTATGATGACTTAATTGTGACACCTTGAAATACTTATTTTTAATTTTACTCAATGAAGAAACAAGCGTCCTTTATATCTGGAACACTTTGATCCGCACGAGTACCATCTTGCGCACTTGCACAAGTGCCAAACTTCACGTTGGTTCCCAGCAATACAGTAAAATGTACTTTGTGCGCCGTGACATGACTTCATCTTAGCTGGCATTTCATTCACGGTAAGCAATATTTGGCATGAGGTTATCATTGTTCACGTTGGGAAGTCTGCGCATGAAAATACGAGGGTCACTCACCACTCACAAGTTATCTAACTGAATAAGAAAGAAACATCCGAGGGGAAAAATAACACGTTCTTTTTCAATGTAGTCACCTTTTAACTCAACATACTTATTCCACTTTGATTCCAAGGATTTTATTCCCTGGGA